CCCCCCCCCCAGCTCTGCCTGTCCCGGTGTCAGGTTCCAGGCGAGGAGAGGGGGCGGTGCGGGGGGGGGGGGGGGGGAGAGGGGGATGGGCTGTTTGGTGCAGTCGGGGCCTGGGGCGAGCCCCTCCCCCCCGTTTTCCTGGACTCTTCGCACCTCCCCCCTTGCAGCAGCCTGGCCACGGGACCCAGGCGTCCGGGGCATTTGAGTCAGTGGGGCTCCTGCCCAGCCCCTGGCTGAGATCCCCACAGCGGGCAGCTCCGTCGCCACAACATACCCGGCCCAGGGTGGTTATCTCCCCAGCGGGGCCAGGGTGGCCTTGGGGGGCGGGCAGAGCCCTGTCCCACCCCCACCTGAGCCCTCCCTCTGCCCCCAGTGCTGCTGACGTGGGTGAACTGTGCCAGCGTGCGCTGGGCGACGCGGGTGCAGGACATCTTCACGGCCGGGAAGCTGCTGGCCCTGGCGCTCATCATCATCATGGGCATCGTGCAGATCTGCAAGGGTGAGACGGGGCACCGGGACCCCCGGGCCGGCTGGGCGCAGGGCGGGGCACGGGGGGGCAGGGGGACAGCCGGGCCGGCTGGGCGCAGGGCACCGGGGGGCAGGAGGTACCCATGCCGGGTGACGCCTGTGTGCAGGGTACTACTACTGGCTGGAGCCGCGGCACGCCTTCGAGGCCTTCGCACCGGTGGACGTGGGCATGGTGGCGCTGGCGTTCCTGCAGGGCTCCTTCGCCTACGGCGGCTGGAACTTCCTCAACTACGTCACTGAGGAGCTGGTCGACCCCTACAGGTCAGCATGGGACCCCGGTGTCCGGGCCCCGCACACCGCTGTCAGCGCCCGGCCGGGGAACTCCGGTGTCCTGGCCCCACACCCCCACTGTCAGCGCCCGGCCGGGGAACCCCGGCGTCTGGGCACTGCTGACGTCAATCCCTCCCTTCCCTGGGGTCACAGTGCCCCCTAATATGGAACCCTGGTGTCCGCGGGACGGCAGTCTGCCTTGGGGGGACCCCGGCTTCCGGGGGGCTTCGCGTACTCACACTCCCCCCTCCCCAGGAACCTGCCGCGGGCCATCTTCATCTCCATCCCCCTGGTGACCTTCGTCTACGTCTTCGCCAACGTGGCCTACGTCACCGCCATGTCGCCCCAGGAGCTGCTGGCCTCCAACGCC